AAAAAAATTATAGATCAAACAAATTTGAGTTAGTATGATGCGCGGAGCCCCAGACCGACATAAAGGGGAATAGTCACGGGGAGCATTCACCAAATTTTAACTTCAAAAAAAAAAAATAAAGTGGGGCCCAAATAAACCAAGTCCTAAACCCTATAAGCTGGGGAAATATTTCTAAGCAAAACAACCCCAATTATGCCAGAACAGATTTTTCCGGTGCACTGATTATGCACAAGGCTTATTCCCCTAAGAAAAAGGAGGGGAGATGTAAAAACAGAAGAGACAGGGCCCCCTTTTACAGGCGACGGAAAAGAATAAAAGGCGGTAAAAGAGGCAATATATCGAAATGCGTAGGGGGGAATGGTCAGAGAAAAAGCAAGCACGAACTTAAACTAAAAGAACCTTTAGGAGTCAGGGGAATCGGGGGAAGAACTAAAAGCCATAAATGAAATCGAAAAAAACCCCAAAAATTTTTTTCCTATGCCAAACAAAACGGAACAACGTCCAGTATTGGGCCCCCACTTAAAAAAATGGGGCCTAAAAGATGCAACAAGGAAATGAAGATCAAGTCCCATAGACTCAGTTTTTAGCAAGCCGCTAACCGACTGGGAAATCAAATCAAAAAGAATTTTTTTTGAGAGAAACCAAAAATTTGATTAACACAAGCCCATCCGATGTTTTCCTGACGCCAAATGATTCGAACAGGCGTAAATGAATCCCCCTGGACTCTGCCCAGGGCCAGATCGAACTCTGTGTTCTCAAGAACTCAAAAGCCCCTATCACGACCTTTTCCATCCCATGGAGAGGGACATGGCACGGGGGTCGTCCCACAGTTATAAAAAAAACAGAATAGCCCCACTCCCCAAAGGGGGGAGTAAAGCAACGCAAAGAACTACAGACATAGCACTAAATCCCATATCTAAAAAACTTTTTAAAGGTCCCAAGAAGCAAGATACCACGCATCTAGAAAACCCATCGTTACCAACCCAGGGCAACGGGTTTAGAAAGGTCCTCCTGTCTGTCTCAACTATTGGACCACACGAAAAGGGCCCAATGAAACTAAAGAAAAAAAGAAGCGATGTAAATATACGACTTTGCAAAAGCCTTCGAAAAAGTGTGACCATGGCGTAATAGCGAAAAAAGCGTGCAAAAAGGAAAAACGGGAAAAGTCGGTCGTGGATCTTAATTTCCTCCTAACAGAACACAGAGGTAGTCTCAACAGAGTAAAGTCCGGGGCAGCTACGGTGAAAAGCTCTGTTCCACAAGGCACAGTACTCGCTCCCATTTGTTCCCCACCTTATATCCGCTAGAAAAGGTGTCAGCCACAGACGTGTTCCTTTGCAAGACACCCAAAAATCTGCATGACAGGTTTTCCCATTGCAGACACTCCCAAAGCCCCGGGCAACATCAACCAAATCTTTCAGTGGGCTGAGAAAACATATGAAGTTCAACGATGAGAAATTTCAAACTCAGATTGGAAAAACATGGGGAAATTAAATCTTCATCAGAGACAAAAAAAATTCGGGCCACAAAATAGAGCAAACACCAACTCAAAGACCGGGGAGTGTTGTTGGAGGATTCCCTTTAAAGGACCTAACATTGTATCAATCGCATTGCAGAAAAATGCAGGATGGATAAGGGAAAACCTTAAAAAAACTAGGGGGGCCCAAACCCCATGATAAACCCCTTTTCAGGTCATTTTCTATTAGGCGGAAATTTGTGCCCACTTCAGCACCTTCAAGGCAGGTGAAATTCCCGCCTAGAAAATGTACAGAAACTTTCACGGCCGGAAAGGGGGAATAAAAACCTAAATTTATTGGGAGCGCTTAGGTTCCAAAACCTGTTTTGGAACGCAGGGGAAAAGATACAGATTATATACCCCTGGAAAATCCTAGAGGGCTAGTACCGAACTTGCCACACGAAACCCCAATACAAAGCAAAAAGACTTGGAGCGATGCCCCACCCCCCCCAATGAAAAGCGGGGTGCACTAGCACTTTAAAAGAGACCATAAATAAGTGTCGGGGGGCCCGAGATGTTCAACTGCCCCCAGCACACAAAGGGGGGTTTCCCAACGACCCCGGCATCTTCAGCGGGCACTGGACAAGACCTAAAAGTCAGTTCCGGTCAGCCGGGGTGTGGCCGTATGTTGGGTTTTCGTGAGCCGCAGCAACAGCCTGGTTGTCAGGCTCTGATCCACCCGGAGGCCCGGTTCAGACCGGGCCCCGGGGGCGTTTTACCCCGAACTCTCTCCAGGTAAATCCCGGTAAAAAAAACGTGATATATGGATAAATGGATTTTACCGAATGTATCCTTAATGCCCACACTGGTGGCTTGTAAACACTGGCACACCGGGGCAGTTCAGGCCCTACGTTTGGAAAGTCTTTTTACGAATCGTACGAAACCCGGGTTTTTTGATCAATACCGGGGCAAAATTTTTGCGATATAAGCATCGAATACCGGGGGGTCCCTGTTAGCTTTTTTAAACTGTGTATTCTGGGGCCCCCTGCAAAAAACAGTGATTTTTGTGAGTGGGTGAAAGTGGGTTTAATGATGAGAAAGTATTTTCTTTTGGGGATTTTCTTTCTTTTTGGGTCATCCTGCCGCGGTGGGAGACGGCCGACTTGTTGAAAAAAAAAAAACACAACATATCCCTCCAAACTGCCAATATCCCAAACCCTTCCTTTAAAGTGCAGGCATTGTACTTCCCATTTCCAGTATTCAAGTCCGGCTATATAAAAATAACTGGTTTTCCTGAATCCCTTCACTAATTATTACCCTGCTCACACTCCACCTCGTCAGGTCCCAGATACCATTCGTCTCCATTCACTCCTATCTAACATGTTCACACACGCTTGCTGGAAGTCCAAGCCCCTCGCTCACTAAACTTCCTTTACCTCCTTCCTCCAACCTTTTCGAGGACGACCCCTACCCCACCTTCCTTCCCCTACAGATTTATACGCTTTCCATGTCATTCTACTTTGATCCATTCTCTCTGAATGACCAAACCACCTCAACAACCCCTCTTCAGCCCTCTGACTAATACTTTTATTAACTCCACACATCCTAATTTCCACACTCCCAATTCTCTACACAATATTTACACCACACATTGCCCTTAGACACGAAATCTCAACCACCCCCTCGCTGCAGCATTTACAACCCAAGCTTCACACCCATATAAGAGTGTTGGTAACACCATACTTTCATACATTCCCTTCTTTGCCTCCATAAGTAACTTTTTTTGTCTCCACATATACCTCAACGTACCACTCGCCTTTTTCGTTCATCACTTCAATAGTTACCCTCATCCTTCATAAATCCATCTGCTGACATGTCAGCTCCCAAATATCTGAAAACATTCACTTCTTCCATACTCCTCTCCAATTTGATATCCAATTTTTCTTTATCTAAATCATTTGATACCCTCATCACCTTACTGGGTGATGAAAGATTGGATATCAGATTGGAGGGAGAGAGTATGGAGGAGGTGAATGTATTCAGATATTTGGGAGTGGACGTGTCAGCGGATGGGTCTATGAAAGATGAGGTGAATCATAGAATTGATGAGGGGAAAAGGGTGAGTGGTGCACTTAGGAGTCTGTGGAGACAAAGAACTTTGTCCTTGGAGGCAAAGAGGGGAATGAATGAGAGTATAGTTTTACCAACGCTCTTATATGGGTGTGAAGCATGGGTGATGAATGTTACAGCGAGGAGAAGGCTGGAGGCAGTGGAGATGTCACGTCTGAGGGCAATGTGTGGTGTGAATATAATGCAGAGAATTCGTAGTTTGGAAGTTAGGAGGTGTGGGATTACCAAAACTGTTGTCCAGAGGGCTGAGGAAGGGTTGTTGAGGTGGTTCGGACATGTGGAGAGAATGGAGCGAAACAGAATGACTTCAAGAGTGTATCAGTCTGTAGTGGAAGGAAGGCAGGGTAGGGGTCGGCCTAGGAAAGGTTGGAGGGAGGGGGTAAAGGTTTTGTGTGCGAGGGGCTTGGACTTCCAGCAGGCATGCGTGAGCGTGTTTGATAGGAGTAAATGGAGACAAATGGTTTTTAATACTTGACGTGCTGTTGGAGTGTGAGCAAAGTAACATTTATGAAGGAATTCAGGGAAACCGGCAGGCTGGACTTGAGTCCTGGAGATGGGAAGTACAGTGCCTGCACTCTGAAGGAGGAGTGTTAATGTTACAGTTTAAAAACTGTAGTGTAAAGCACCCTTCAGGCAAGACAGTGATGGAGTGAATGATGGTGAAAGTTTTTCTTTTTCGGGCCACCCTGCCTTGGTGGGAATCGGCCAGTGTGATAATAATAATAATAATAATAATAATAATAATAATAATAATAATAATCACCTTACTCTTTTTTATGCTCACTATCAACTTTCTACCTTTACACACACTCCCAAACTCATGAAAGTGTTGAATGATGATGAAAGTATTTTCTTTTTGGGGATTTTCTTTCTGTTTGGGTCACCCTGCCTCGGTGGGAGACGGCCGACTTGTTAAAAAAAAAAAAGTATGTGTAGTATGACCTAAGTGTAAGTAGAAGTAGCAAGACATACCTGAAACCACATACACACATAATTTGTTTGTTGAACTTCTGGAAGTGGGAAATAGTGTTCATAATCTGAAGGATGGGTGAGGAGATGCTGTTCAAAGGGTCATTTGAATTGTGATGTCCATGTGTTTATGGCAAGTCCACTGTTTGAGTGATTGTATTTCCTTTCGGTTACCCTACCTTGGTGCGAAATGGCTACGTGATCAAAAATATATTGTAATCTGAATGATAATTTATTTTCATACACTTTGGTGTACTAATTGAATGTTAAACCATAATTTAACTCAGTTAATTAATCACGATGGTCTACTCTCACATATGGTATTCTGGGCAACTCTTGTAATGTCAAAGCTTTTATGCTAAGATTAAAAAATGGTTAACTCCTTGAAGAAGAAATTAACCTTAATGTAACTATATATATACATGAAACCTCTTTTACTATGCAGGGTGGAGGGCGTGTGAGTGCATATTTGCATGTTGCACGCACAGTGTGTCGGCGAGCTGAGAGAACTGTTGTTCCTCTCATCTTTGAGGGATTAGTTGATGAACAGGTTATAATTTATATTAACAGGTAAGTCTGCCTATCTATATTTTTGGTGCCTTTTTTCCACTAGGAGCTACCTATGTTGTGGGGTTTGTGAAACAAAAGAATTTTACATGCTTATTTAGCTATTATAAAAGTGAGGCACAACTTGCATTGAGAAACAAGAATGTAACAGAATATTGATAATTGTTCTCAGCAAGCACATAGTTAAATGAAATATGAAACATATCACAATTTTTTTTTTTTAATGCACATGTTAAGGGCAATATGGAGGTTGTAAAAATTAGAAAAATGATTGCATAAAGTATAATACTGTGACCAAAGCCAGATTGACATAAATGAGGATAATAAGGACACTTTTTTTTACCCCTCCCTCCCCAAAGCATTTCTGTATGCATTTACCTTTTGTGTAGGGATATTTGATGATGCCATAAGCTGTAATGGTTGGGTTTTCCATACTAGAGATACCATAATCAAGAAGAAGAGATTCTCCACATGTTTGACATAATGTACATTGAAACGTAACACCATATTTTCCCCTAACCTTTGGAAACTGTTTGTAAGTTTAAAATTAAATACAAATTTCATATATGGGAATAGTAATATCTTAATTTTGATATAAATCTTGCAGGAATAGAAAATGTAGGATTTCAGTGAGTTGGATGTATTTTATTTGTCTCTCCTAATCCTTTTGTTACTTATAATACTCTGTTATTACTTCACTAATGCTCCATTTGTTACTTCCCATACTCTTCTTGTTACCAAAAACTTCTATTGTTACTCTGACACACTTTTTATTATTCTCTTCTGTTATTTATTACAGACTGAGCGACTACCTTTTCACAATTGCAAGATATGCATCTTTCCTTGATGGTAACAAGGAAACCATATATATCCGACCACAGCCACATAAATCCTTGAGGAAGAAAGAGCGACTTATTTCTGAAAATCAAGAAATAATCCAAAACGATGGTTGAAGGTCATTAAAGAACTTTCTAATGAAAATGTAGTTTCAGTATCAAAATTATTAATCAGGGTACTTTTGTGAGTATTCTGAATGGTGAATGATTGTAAAATATATAAGTAGATGAAGGAAGATATTTAAAGCTTTTTGTATTTTTTATAAAGTAGTGACATAAGCCTTATCCAATTATACTTTACATGTAATAGTGTAAATTGAATTTAAACATAAATTAAATACATAATTTTTTTTAAGTGCTCATATTGAAATCAGTAATGGTGATAAATGTACTGATTTAACTTTTCTTCCATTAGTATTTGTGTAAAATATGATATGTCCAGAATGAAAAAAGTATTCAGGGAGGTAGGTACTGTATAGAGGTTAGTTGAAAAATTAAGACTTTTTTTCATTGGTATAAACAATGTATATACAGTATGTGATAGTATTTATTATGTCTAACATTAGCCTCATAAAAATTTTAAGAGACAAGGTTTTTGACTTTCCAGCATATGGTGGTGATGACCATTTCTGCATTTTTTCTGTAAAGTAAAAAGTCAGTCATAATATTATATCTAAAACAACTTAAAACAAACCCACAAATTGGAAATGAAGACTGGATAATGTTTTGGTCCACTCTGGACCATTATTAAGTAAAAAAAAAAAGTCAGAAGTTAGGGCAACAGGTGATTAAAAACAGCCGAGATAAGGTTAAGTCACAGGTGATCTAATCATTTAACAGTGTACTGGGAGAAGCAAGTATCTACAGAAGCAAGACCACAGCTGTTATCATGTTCATGGGGAGGTGCTAAACCTGTAGGGATCACAGAACACTTGGATAATAGGAAGCAATCAGTTGATCTAAGGAACTGGTTGCTCCAGTTCCATAGATAAGAGATCTTTGCACCCCCTTGAAGGAAAATGGTGTTAAGATAATTTAAATTAGAAAAGCAGGAAGGCAAAGTACAATAGTCTTCATGGAGTGGGTTTATATATTATAGGAGAGGACATCTTAGGGTTATCATTCCAACAAAAACATGGGTTACTAATAGGTCCTTTCCGAAGATGTGATCAACAATAGACTACTAATTCCTAAGTACATACAGTGGACCCTCGGTTTTCGTAATTAATCTGTTCCAGAGAGATTAAACCTAAATCTGACGATTTCCAAATTAATTTTCCCCATAAGCAATAATGTAAATCCAATTAATCTGTTCCAGACACCCAAAAGTATTAAAAAAAATATTTTTTTACATGAAATATACATTTCCCTACACACAAAACAATGAGACATGCAGAATAAAACGATAATAAAATGACACCTTTATTGAAGACTTGTTGAGTGATGAGACAGGAGGAGGGAAGAGGATGGAGGTGAACTGTTTGGAAGGGGAATCCCCCTCCATAAGGACTTCCGGGGTTACTTCCCTAATTTGTTTTTTAATGCCACTAGGACCAACTTGAGTCACTGGAACCCTGTCGCTCAAAAAAGTGTTCCAGAGAGGTCTGTTTCCGGTGTATGTTAGGAATTCTGGCGGCGGCAGGGGAGTGTGTTGGGAGACAGAACAAGATAGTCCTTCAATATCAGCTCTACGGCTTATTCATCTAGCACAGTTCATCTTATATGACATAATAAACAGTATTAATAACACAGAAACATGATATATACTCTAGAATGAATAGAATATGGCATTAGGAATGTCACGAGTGGTGGTGTATTGTTTGTTGTTGGGTGTATAAGGGCCACTGAAAGATGAGCCTTACATAGTGGTGGTGATGGCGGCAGCAGAAGCGGCAGTGTTAGTCAGTAGCCTTGTATACCTCCAACAACATTGGAGGAGTCAGTTTCATGCTATCCTTTTTCTATCGATTAATTGTTAAACTTACTTGCTACACTGTTAACGCTACACTATATCACTGGCTGACGCTATAGCCATTATCTACTCCTGCTGCTTTAGTATCATACATATCTCAGAATCACTGAAGAAGGCACATTCTCCCCTCTCTCTCAGCCCTTTACCAAAGGGCTGGCTGGCACTAGGAACTTTCTTTGGGCCCATGGTGGCTTATTTAGCAGTTACAAGCACTAAAAAGAATGGAATAATATGAAATGTATGAAAGTGTGGGATCGTCCTCACTGGCTGATAAACAATGGCACATTGGCTGTAAATGGTGTTGGGCCGCTCAGGCTGTGCAGACACGTTCAGGACGAATGACTATTACCGAGTTTAATGACGATCATCGAGCCAATATTTTGACGAAAAATTTTTACTGTTTCTCAAAAATACAAAATCCGATGATTACAAAATCCGGGGGTTCACTGTACCTATTTACTGCTGTTTCAACACTGGCAGCAAGTGTAAGGAGACTTGCCCATGTGTCCCACCTCTCCCTTGGAAATATAATCTGGATCTTTTCAGTTGAGTCAGATGCACCACCACTAAACTCCAGGAAGCCTGTAAATGTAATACAGTACGACTTGTCCTGTCTTTCACGATCAGTTCAATGCTTGGACACACAGATGTGCATCCAGGCATTGGAGCTGGGATCCTGGGGAATATGTACAATGAGTATATCGATCTTAAACTGTTATATTACATTTCATTACATTCATGATGGGATGGAGAGGGGGGGAGATTTCTTAACTCAGAGATCAGAGCAGGTCCAATTCCCTGAAGAGGAGCCCCTCACTTGTGTCAAGAAACCTCCAATAAGGGAAATTGAGTAATGTTATTGCCTAGCCCAAGGTATTGCACTCTGCTAGTACTGTGCTGTCCTATACTATTTTAATGATATATGAATGTAGCAGCCATCAGCAGCTAAATGTATGTAGGGTTAGTTAAAAGCAAATGTAAATTAATTATATTCAATTATATTCATGGTGAAGCTCTACATTTATAAGAGTTAGGCAGTGCCTGGGGAATAGGAGGTAAGAAAGTTTGTTTGAAGGAGTATTTTCAGTTCCTGGGACTTGAGTCATTCACCAGTACAGTATAAATTTGTTTGGGGGGAAACACTTAAATCGATTTTTTTTCATATAGTCCCCCCCTATAAACAAGGAATAGTTGAATCAAGGTCCCTTACTGTTATTTATATTTTTTAACATGCTGGTAAATTTTCCACCAGGCAGGGTGATCCCCCCCCCCCCCCCCCAAAAAAAAAAAAAAAATTCATTCAACATCCCGTCTTTGCAGGGGCACCAATTACACTTTAGATTCACACTATAAAAACAGATATCCCAAACCCCCCTTTTATAGTGCAGGCATTGTATTCCCCACCCCCAGGACCGAAGTCCAGCTAGCCTGTTTCCCTTTACCCCTTCCCAAAAAATATTACCCGCTCACACCCAGACTCATAAAGTCCAAAAAACCATTCATTTATCCAAACTGCAACGTATCCCTGCTGTAGCCCCATCCCCCTTGCACACAAAGCCTCTTTTACCCCCTCCCTCCATTCTTTCCCAGGACGCCCCCTACCCCCATTCCTTCCACCTCAGATTATACACCTCCAAGTCTCCTATTTTGCCCACCTTTCTAAAAACCAAACCCCCTTAACAAACCCCTTCCCCCAGCCCCCCCTTTAACAAAACTTTAGTAATCCACACCTAATTTCCACACTACAAAACCTCTGCATAATATTTACATCACATTGCCCTCAGACATGACATCTCCACTGCCTCCAGCCTCCTCCTTGCTGCAATATTCACAGGCCATGTTTCACATCCACATAAAAGAGTTGGTACCACTATACTCTTATACATTCCCTTTGCCTCCATGAATAACTATTTTTTTTTTTTTTTTATTATCACACTGGCCGATTCCCACCAAGGCAGGGTGGCCCGAAAAAGAAAAACTTTCACCATCATTCACTCCATCACTGTCTTGCCAGAAGGGTGCTTTACACTAAGTTTTTAAACTGCAACATTAACACCCCTCCTTCAGAGTGCAGGCACTGTACTTCCCATCTCCAGGACTCAAGTCCGGCCTGCCTGTTTCCCTGAACCCCTTCATAAATGTTACCCTGCTCGCACTCCAACAGCACGTCAAGTATTAAAAACCATTTGTCTCCATTCACTCCTATCAAACAGGCTCACGCATGCCTGCTGGAAGTCCAAGCCCTCGCACACAAAACCTCCTTTACCCCTCTCTCCAACCTTTCCTAGGCCGACCCTACCCCGCCTTCCTTCCACTACAGACTGATACACTCTTGAAGTCATTCTGTTTCGCTCCATTCTCTCTACATGTCTGAACCACCTCAACAACCCTTCCTCAGCCCTCTGGACAACAGTTTTGGTAATCCCGCACCTCCCTAACTTCCAAACTACGAATTCTCTGCATTATATTCACACCAACATTGCCCTCAGACATGACATCTCCACTGCCTCCAGCCTTCTCCTCGCTGCAACATTCATCACCCATGCTTCACACCCATATAAGAGCGTTGGTAAAACTATGCTCTCATTACATTCCCTCTTTGCCTCCAAGGACAAAGTTCTTTCTCTCCACAGACTCCTAAGTGCACCACTCACTCTTTTCCCCTCATCAATTCTATGATTCACCTCATCTTTCATAGACTCATCCGCTGACACGTCCACTCCCAAATATCTGAATACATTTCACCTCCTCCATACTCTCTCCCTCCAATCTGATATTCAATCTTTCATCACCTAATCTTTTTGTTATCCTCATAACCTTACTCTTTCCTGTATTCACCTTTAATTTTCTTATTTTGCACACCCTACCAAATTCATCCACAAATCTCTGCAAACTTCTCTTCAGAATCTCCCAAGAGCACAGTGTCATCAGCAAGAGCAGCTGTGACAACTCCCACTTTGTGTGTGATTCTTTATCTTTTAACTCCACGCCTCTTGCCAAGACCCTCGCATTTACTTCTCTTACAACCCCATCTATAAATATATTAAACAACCACGGTGACATCACACATCCTTGTCTAAGGCCTACTTTTACTGGGAAATAATTTCCTCTTTCCTACATACTCTAACTTGAGCCTCACTATCCTCGTAAAAACTCTTCACTGCTTTCAGTAAACTACCTCCTACACCATACACTTGCAACATCTGCCACATTGCCCCCTATCACCCTGTCATATGCCTTTTCCAAATCCATAATGCCACAAAGACCTCTTTAGCCTTATCTAAAATACTGTTCACTTATATGTTTCACTGTAAACACTGGTCCACACACCCCCTACCTTTCCTAAAGCCTCCTTGTTCATCTGCTATCCTATTCTCAGTCTTACTCTTAATTCTTTCAATAATAACTCTACCATACACTTTACCAGGTATACTCAGCAGACTTATCCCCCTATAATTTTTGCACTCTCTTTTATCCCCTTTGCCTTTATACAAAGGAACTATGCATGCTCTCTGCCAATCCCTAGGTACCTTACCTCTTCCATACATTATTAAATAATTGCACCAACCACTCCAAAACTATATCCCCACCTGCTTTTAAACATTTCTATCTTTATCC